GGGGGGGGCGAGGCGGGGTTAAGAGTGTGCGAGAGCAATGGCCACACAAAGTGGAAACTTTAAAGAATCTTAACTAAAATGACGTAAATTGAGAAAACCTGCAACAAGGAAAGAGATTAGTTCATTGTGACTGCTTTCGTTTCTCGTCTGACTGTTCCACCCTACTTTGTGACCATCTCGTCCAACTTTCACGTAAAGTATTTTCCAATATTTATTTAGAATTCATGCGCCCTGAACAAGTCAGTTTTCTCAAGGGAATCGTAAATTCATTCGAGCGTGTTTTTCCGATGGCAGAGGTTTAGCAGTTGGGCAATATTCATCAAATTTTATACTTCCTTTCCTTCTTACTCTTCAGTTGGATGCCACCGTTATCACTTCAAGCAAAAATAACGAATGAATACCTCAGAGGAGCGTTTAATCTGAGCTTCTTGGTGTGCACAATAATGATTAAAATGCCGATGAACTGAGCGGTCCACCTGAATTTAAACCAGCCCTCTGGATTTACGCATGACCAGACAATCGCCTTGATGAATATGATGAGAGAGCACATCTGTCTGGGAATTTTGATGGGTCAGAAGTACAAAATGTGGGTGAACACAAGTGAAATGGAGATTAGACAGCAAGGCATGTGTTGAAAACAGTCAGTTCAACGGAAAGACTCAATGCAACAACTCCCATATTGGAATGGCCAAATCCCATATCTAGTAGACGAATTAAACTGCAATGGTCGCAATGGACGTCTCCAAAAGTAATCAGCCTTTACATAAAAGTCATTCAAGCCAACCTAGGTTCATTCAACACCTCCAAATGGTCATTTAAAAGTGTTCCGTGGTTTCGGTTATGAACTCGAGTGATTAAGTTGAGGAAGCATGTTCTTGAGAACGGGATAGCTGTTTGTGGGTGTTGGGAGTGGATGGGCGGACTGTTGATTTTATTGCCTCTTCAATGACATATTAGTCGATGATTACGCGTGACTGTACGGCACCAATGAGAAAGCGTTCAAGAGAAGAAGAGAATTAAAATGACAAAGAGGACAAGGGAAGAAACGAGGAGAGGGGGGGGGGAAAGGGAGGTAGAAAGGTCGCAACTGAGCGTCCGGAACCACCTCCTCAACAAAAGTATTTTTAAGGCAGGCAGGTGAGTGGAACGGTTCGAGAATTCAGACACCTGCTGGCGCCATATTTCCCTTGTTCCTGCCGCGTCTACTTTCGCACTCGTTAATTAACTTTTTACTACTCTCTCCATGTCACCTCTCCTCCACCTCTCCCACCCCCCCCCCCCCCCCCACTTACCCGCCCCTCTTTCACACATCCAAATGTTGCGAACAAACGCTGCTATGACAGATTGCTGTTTGTAATTGAAGTTGGCGCATTAATTTTAATTTCCTCTCTCTCTCTCTCTCTCTCCGCCCCTCACTCTCATTCGCTCTTTTGTATCTGGTAAAATGGAAAATCCCCAAAGAGCGTGGATACGGCTAAGGCCTTTCATTATCCGGAAAGAGAGTTAAGGGGAATGTTTCTAGTGCTTAAATCGTATTTCCGGTCGGCGGATTTCTCAGTGAGGCATGAGAAGGAAGAGTTTGCTTTAGCCTACTTCCTGTTTACTGTTGGGAGTCTTTAAGTTCATCAAATACTAACTGCCCTTTTTATTCCTCTCCCAAACAAATCCCCTCCTGACTCACAGAATCTCTACCGTAGTCTTTGAATTTGAATGAATTGGACTCCTTCAGCCTCATGATTAAAACCCCTTCCACAATTGGGATGCAAATTATGCAGTCGAAATGCAATTAATCAGACGACTGTCAAGAAGGCAGTTGAAGACTTCCCATTAGTCAGAAAGATCGCTGTAAAGACAGCTTCTTTCTCTTTAGTGCCCTTAGCATTGCACATCGGTAAGTTTAATATTAAAAGAAAGTGGGATCGTTTGCGCTTTATGAAAGTAAGCTAAGTTATTGGAAAGTGACAATATGTCTATTGTAAAAGGAATTATATAAGGCTAGGTAGAGGTGGCTACAGTTAGCATGCATAATTAGATTAGCTGGGACGAGCTAACCTTGCAGGGCCAATCTGTTCTGACAAACACACGCGCACACATACACACACACCTCTGACACCTGCCGAGATAAGTGACTAATTGACCCAAAAACTCTGCCGATTGGAAAATAAGTGATAACATGCTAATAGCAATACCATCTATTTCTGCTTGATGCTCCCAATTCAGTCTCTAAAAGCGAAGTCATCAGCAGACTGATTTCTTATGCACCAAATGCATTTAAATGGCTTATTTAAAAATAAAAATGATTTACTGACTTGACTTTCTAGGGGATTGATTCCTTTGTCTCGACACCTAATTGATACCGTATGGATCGGTGTTTGTTCTCTATCGAAGCTGGTGGTGGTGACGAGCTGAAATTCGGCCCTTCCAACACCGCCGACTGAGTTGTGACCCCCGACGAAGGAGATGTCATCGTGATCTGCAATCATTTTGTGCCCCATAAAGGAATCGGCAGAAATGAGTCTAAAGAGAGTGCTATTCAAGGTGCAGTAGAATTGCCCATTCGGTCCGTTTGGACCATCAAGGTCCTGAACAGTCACCAGAGCTACGAATGTTTCACTTCTTGCATTTTCTAAAACTTCTAATTGAGTTGGACTACGATTTGCCCAGTCCATTATAGTGATTTTCGGCTCTTCATCATTAACATCGACCAATTCAATAACAATGCTGGCTGAAGTTGAAAGTCTATTTGGTCTGCCATCGTCTGAAGCCACAACAATCAAATTATAGGCCCTGTTTGGAGAGGACTTTGCCAAGCTATCGTAATCAAGTCGATCTGCTAGTCGCAATTCCCCAGTTGAGGGATTTAAATCAAATAGACGCTGAACTCTTGGAGGAATTGTTTCCGCCCAAGCAAACGTAACCCGACCGTTTTCCCCACTGTCTGCGTCTCTGGCTTCGAAGGTAGCCAATAGGGTTCCAACTGGTGTATCCTCCCTGAGGTTGAGTTGATTGTGTCCAAGCCCCATTGTGGATGAGTCGTAACCACTTTGTATGCGTTTCCGAACAGTGACATTGGGCTGATTATCATTCTCGTCAATCACATCTACACGAACAAGTATGTCTGAAGAGTGGGCCATATGACGATCAGTGTCATATGCAACGAGTGAAATGTAGTAGTTCTGTCTTTTCTCGAAGTCCAGAGGTTCTCTCAGCTCCAGCTTCGGTAGAATCACGCCATCATCTCGCCTTGTAGAAATCAATTCAAAGGGAAAACTGGTGAAGAATCTATGCTCAAAATGTGAGAGATACTGCGTTGAAGGTCCCTCTAGCTTATATCCTTGAATTCCAAAGGATCCAGCATCCAGGTCTTGAGCTATTGGCAATGTTAACTGATACCCAATATGTGCGTTTTCGGAAATTGATACGACATACATGAGACTTCCATCGTAGTTTCGAGAGATCTGGGAGCTAGGAATTCCGACAAACTTCGGGGCATTATCATTTAAGTCTAGTAAATCAATCTGAATGGAAGCGAAGGAAGTAGAATCAGTCTTGGAGCTGTAAGCTATGCGAAAATCGAGCGTGCATTTGAGCCCAGTAGAGATTATGTGATTTCCGAATTTTGACTGAACAGCCTCCATGCCAACAATCTTTATGTCATGCGCATTTGCAATATCATGCTGGCCCACCATTATGCAACAAAGTTCCGCTCTTTGACACAATTGATCCCGATCAATTGGTCCACTAGTACGAAGCATTCCTGTGCGCTGATCGACTGCAAACATCTGGTTAATCATGGAGTTTGAGCTAAGTATCTTGAATACATAATTTGGACTGGCAGATTCATCTGCCAGATGCAAATTAAGCAGACTGGGTAAGTCGGCAATTTCAGTATTGATGGGTACCTCTTCTGGCATCTGGAAGCGAAAGAACTCGCCATGTGTTGAATTAAGAAGTTGAAGGAGAGACAAGAGAAGGAGAACCCAGAACATCTCGGCTCCAAATGTGGTAATTTGTGAATATTAAGTCAAGTTCTAAGTCCGTCCACATTAGTGGTGGATGCTAATTGGTTCCTTAACACACGGTGAAACCTGGGCACTGATTGGCTGATTCATGTCCAATCAGATAAAACTCTTGGCACGTGGCCTTGGCCAGTGAGCTAGTTACACCTTGCAATCGAGGCTTATGGGTTTAAGGAGGGAGGAGGGTAGCTCATTGCGGTGGCGACATGCAAAATAACGAGTATTAATACACAGCCCAATGCCAGGTTGCGTTTGGAGTGTAGGGGTGGCGCGGGGTTGGGGGGGTGGGGAGGGGTTGGCGAATGCCGATTAGGGAGATTTTAATCGTAAACCTATCGTTTGCCCCCGAAAATGTCTATATAACTACACCAAATCACGCAAATGATCTTCTAGTATCAATGCCAGAGCTAGTACTCCTGCGGTAGATCAAAGCTCTCTTCTGTCCACCTCACCCTACCCTACCCCTATCAAGCCGCATTCTCTATTACTGAGTTCGCAAAATTTCCTTTTGTAATGTACCTAATGAAAACCAGTTAAGTTTCATATTACACCGATTTCACTTCATTGTTACCCTTTAAAGTAATCAAGAGCTCAGAAATGCCTTCAATCCAAATATTTTTTTTATATTAAATGGCAGCCGTTTTGATAGCCATCTTTGGCCACTTAGCTGACTTCGGACTTCACAGAGGAGAGGAACATCAAAGTTCAAGAGGGTGGACCGAAGAATGATTTGTAGATGTAGAAGAGACAGACAGACAAAAAGGAGTAAGGTGAGTACTGTGGAAGTGGTCGAATATGCCATACAGTCGGGCCATGGTAGTTTGAAGTCAGAAGACAATTGTCGGTTTATAGACTTGTTTTGCCGTATGAGCATATTTTTTCCAGAGTGCAACACGTGGAGATAAGTCTATCGCACACCTCACAATCCAAATATTGAGTGTCACACCTATTAATAAATACATAATTTCGTCAAATGAGACTTAACTAATGATACCCGAAAGCGAAAGAATTATTCAACCACAATGTAATATCAGGATTCCAAATTATTTTTTGAAATAGCAATGAAGAGGAATTGAAGTTTTTTGGGTAAATTTTTCTTTCGGGAGGAGCCATCTGCAGTCAAACACTCATTTAGGATAATTAAATTATAATGAATATGAACTGGTGAGGATTTAACTTTGAAGAGAGCACTCACGATTTTTACTCAATTAGTGATTTGGCCTCCACCTTTCGTGCTTCTTTTGTCGTGGAATTCCCCTGACGTGGAGATCAACGATGGCCACTATAATTCCTTTTATTATTCCAATGCCGGAGAAAAACGGAGAATTCCATCTTCCCCTATTTTATTCGATTTTTGTAATTTTACAATTTTTAGAGGGTAGCTTATTTAAACAAAATTGCTCTGAGATAAGCAGAGTTAGGTGAAACAAAAAAGTTTATTAAATTATCTACTGAATTGCATTCGAGTTTGTGAATGGATATTTCGCAAATTATTTATTTATTTATATCAAATGGCAGGCGTATTGATAGATATCATTAGCCCATTAGTTGATTTCAGGCTTCACAGAGGAGAAGGAACATTAAAGTGAAAAAAAGTCGAGAGGGGGGGGGGGAACAGAAGAGTTATTCAAAAATGTAAAAGAGACAGACACAAATGTAGAAAAAGGTAAAATTAGTACAATGGAAGTATCCGAAATGGCATACAGTGGGGTCATGGCAATTTGAAGTGAGAAGTCAACTGCCGGTTAATAGAATTTTTTGCCGTATGAGAATGCGTTGCCCAGTGTGCACCCCGTGGAGGTAAGTCTATCGCACACCCCTTTCGCAAATTATAAGATGTTGAATTAATTCTGCTTTTTTACTATGTTCATAAATTCGCATTCAATTACCTACTTAGTCAAATACCAGATGAACAAGAATTAAAGAATTTGGTTGAACTACACTTCCTACACTAGCAACCAATTTCCAGCTGTTTTCTACTTCGAAATTGTACTATTTGGACACCTCATTTTAACCTCCTCCTGTGATGATCACTCTTCTTCCTTCTTTGCTATCTCGGAGGTCCTGACATACCGCGAAAGGGGACTCATCGTGTCCTCTTCGACTGACGGCTTTTTGAGTCTCCCTCGAACAAAATTCCTCGTTCATTGTGCGCAATGAACTAAAGGCGGAAAATGGAAGCAATTTGTTAAAACTACAATTTGCCTGCAACGTTTAACAAATCAATGTTCAACAAGGATGCGCTATTTACAACTGCATCCAAATTTCACGAAAAGGGAAAACAGGCTAGCCTTGCGCTCTCCTTCTCAAGAATTCATTTTACTGATGACAAATTTAGACGCCTTTAATGTAAACACAGGCAAGGTTAACAGAGTGACAAAATATTGCAAGAAAGCAAACACTTAATTTTCTAATTTTAGAAACAGATATACATCTAAACAGTAAGGCGGACAGTGCTTGAATCTTTTGGCAATTCGCGGTCATTAAAGTGACACCCTAAACAAAATACCATGTGCCTCTTTTAGAAGTACGGTTGCGTGTTTCAATGGCTTCTCTTTTGCTAGATCCGACAATGTGTAGAAAGCTCTAATAATGAAGTAGGCGTGTTTAAGAGAAGTAAGAAGAAGCTATGTCTCCAATTTAGGAACAAGTGAATCAGTTTCAGATTATAGAAGATAGGTCGTGTCGACCAAAGCGTATGAATAGAATACGAGGAGGTTTCGAGTGAGGGGGAGAGGGCACTTTAGATGAAGTGGGTGCAGTAATAGAAAAAAAGGGGAGCCGACAACCTCTCCTAGACACGGCAGTCTGGGCTGCTATTGGGTCTCATGGGTAAAAGCCAAAGTCCTTTCGCAGAGAATGGGATTAAAGCATATTGTTGAAAATGCAGTGAAAGTCAACTTTTACGGTATTGTCCCAGCTCAGTCTTGTGGATATCGGTGCTCGGAAAAGGAACTAATAACTCTTTGGAAAGTGATTGGAAAAACATTGTTTTATTGGTCAGTTAAATATTTATTGTTAAAACAATCTGACATTCTTCCAGAATCTCCTCTTTAAGATAAATATTTGCTCACTCATTTAATGTGGAAAAATAGTCTATCCAAGTATAATTCCTTGTAAACTATCATGGTGTAGAAAAAATCCAACAAGGCGCCTCGTTTTGAATGCTTTTAAAGAATGTAAAAATTTAATTGGCAGGTGGAATTCTCTCCCAGAACTACAATATTGATCAGACGGTACACTTTAAATACACAAAGTGACCGTCAATTATTTTAGGAAAAGGATTAGGATTTTAGAAGCGAATCCAGCTAATCTAATAATTGATTTACTGGTACCTGATTCCGATGATAAATTTCAACTTTGCAAAATTAAGACCATGGTCAAGTAGATTAAGAAGGGCGCATAGCGAGATTGTTAGGATGAATAATTGGATAATTTTTGCCAACCCTCAGAGGAACTAACAAAATTTCCATTCTCTTACACTGGACTGACGATTCGATTGGATTTCCTTGTTCACAGCAGGATACTTAAGACCAACTGTGGGGATACTGTCAATGAACTTATTGGTTGACCAGACAGCAATTCAGTTATCGAATGTCGCCTCTTTGAGCTACTAGTGGTGAGTGATCATTTTTATTGTCAGTGTTTTTCATAAATCCAATTATCCAAGGCTTCAAAGTTAAATCTCTCTAACATCCTTGTGTTCAGGGGTTTTATCTACAAAAAAGTTCAGTTATGAACAATTTACAATTATTTAGAATGTGGTAAAAGGTAATGAAAAAAACCAATAGAATGATACTTGTAAACATTTTTACGTATTTGAAATAATGGAATAATAGAAACACTATGTTTACAATTATTTTAAGTCTGTATGCATTTTTGGGACACCCTGTGTGAGGAATGTCGACATTTGAAAGTTGTAGGTTCTATTGTAATGCTCTCATGTAGTACCATTTGCCGAAGGATTTCGGAAAATAAGACGTAATTAATAAAATAAGATGTGAATGTACCCACTTTCAAACCTAATTTATTCACGCTGAATGTCGGTTTGTTTGAAAATACAAAGGGGACATTTTGGGTGAATTTCACTGGATGCAAATCATTAAAAGCAAAGATTGGATGAAATTTAAACTGGACACCTTCAGAGCAGAACATTTAAAAGCCCCCCCCCCCCCCACTTCACTAGTAAGGGGGATTTGTATTCACACAAAATAGCGATTTGGCCAAAAGGTGGACTATTGGGGATGAGAGGGGAGAGGGGGTGGGTGAGTGGGGAGGTTTGAAACCGAAACAATATCTCATAACAAATTAGTCATTGATGAAGTAGACAGAACGGAGTCAGATGATCCCACCATGAAAGAGGCCCCTCGCTCCTTCAGAATGCAAATTTATGCTAATAAGACTGATCGTTAGTGGACAAGAGGCGGTTAGATGAGATGAAGTGCGTTGAAGTCACAATGTGGCTGGTCTGATTTGAAGAGCTCTGAGGATCTGCTAAAATCAAAGCCTGTGTGTGTGTGTGCATGTGTGTGTATGTGCGTTTGTGTGTGTGTGTATGTGTGTGTGTCTGTGTGTGTGTGTGTGTGCGTGTGTGTGTGTGTGTCTGTGTGAGTGTGTGTGTGTGTGTGTGTGTGTGTGTGTGATATATTAGCATACCTTCGCGTCAGAAAGTAGCATTTTTATCACATGGAAAGATATTAATGGTATTTCAAGAACCTTCAAATCTATGCATCCACGGGTCTAGCCTATGCACGAAATTAAATTGATTATCACAACTATCCACTCCTAATGGACGAAGTGTCATTTTATTCACATTCTATTCTTATGATTGAATTAGCAGTTGGTAAATGACATTTAAATTAAATCGTACCCACAGTTGCCACCAGAAGGTGAAATTTCGCGCATAACTCCAACATAACTCCCCTTTTAATCCCACGAAATAAGTTAAAAAGCATAAACAGCAATGACAA